CCTACATATTTGCATAGTAGAAAGTGAGAGGAATCCAACAATACTGAAATTATTGCAATCCGTTTGGTGGAAATATTCCAGAAAATTACCGACAGTGGTTGTAGGCCCAGTTGGTTTATGGATAAATAAGGAATTGGTTGGAGCTTTATCTTGTAACAATATATTTGGAGTAGGTTTGGTTACCTCTGCTGGAGTGTTTTAGGTGTGGAGGCGGTAGTGATTGCCGGACGATGTACCACTGTCAACTGTTATTATGGTGGCCATTGGTTGATAATCCTTTGACATGTAGAAAAGCTATTAAGGAAAATGGATATTGTCACAATGCTAGTTTGCTAACTTTGTCTACTGTGCATGTGAGGTGATTTAGCTGAACTAAATTGTGTATTTAAACACAACAGATGTACATGCATGTATAATTTGGCATTTCACCTGTTTTCATTGCAGATCATATATGAATTACAGCATGTGATATGTGGGACAATGCAGTAATAACAAACTCTAAAATCCAATTACTTTCAGCGCTGTGGTATTTTGTTCTAATACCTTGATGCTAATTTCGCTGTCAGCACATTCATATAGATGATCAATGACAGATAACGCTTTAAAATTTCTTCTTAAAAAGCTATGATGACATGTTATACCTACACAGTCCCCCCTTGAATAACTAGATATTTGAACTTCCAAATTCATGTGAAAAATGGGTGATATTGCTTTTTAGTATGACTTTGTAGCCTGGAGAGATAACCATAAGATGCAATGAGGAATCATTATCAGAGTGGATATACCAAGGACAGAACAAATCAAAGACCTAGGTGACAAATTAAGGACCTAGGCAGAACAGAATGGCAATTAACAACTAAGGAAAATTTAATCTGTGTCATACTAAGAAAATCTCTCCATGGCCATACATTTTAAACAAATGCAATTAATTGAATTTCAGAAATTTAAAGTGTGCATGGACCTTGAAATATTCACATGCATGTACCTGGAAAGTTCAATATCTTTAGAAAATATGCACATGGGTAAAAAGATTGTGCACGTGAGATCTCACATGCAATACTGCAGTTTGTACGTAAGATTACAATGCAAGAGATCTATTTGATGGGGTTAGATTATATCTTCATCATAAATACATCTTTTGCATTGTAAAAATATCATTCTCATTCATACCATTTTCACATGTTGCAATGAACACAGTTTGCTCCTTTGACTCTAATTGAACCACTATACAAACCCCTCATAGAGAGGGTTATAGGCAATGGAAGCTTTTAGGTGATGATGTGTGTTAGTAGTATAATTTAGAGTTGGTGTTTGTATATGTTTTTATATATTTTGAAAGTTTACATGGGATAATACTGTGTTTACCAGTCCCAGCTTCAACTATGGGGATTAATGTCATCACTGAGGTTGTCATCCATAAATTTGAATATTATTTTAAAAAGTGGCATTGCAAACAGACCCTCATTAGTACCAAATTTGCTAGTACGCTCTTGTTTAGAATTGTGAGAGTTTCATTCCTCGACATCTTTCAAATGTAAAAAAACTTATGACAGCTTGATGTGGATATCACTTGTGCAGAATACAATTGCCTTACTAGTGCTCACAAAAGTACACATGAGTCATTACTGTTCTAGATTTAGTGAAAATATTAGATTTAATAGTATCCAAAATATAAAAGTGATTGTTGTATATTGTTATATCATTCTAAAGACCAGATCTATATCACACTTCAGAAGAAAAGCAGATGGAGCATGGACTTGTTTCTTGTTTCATAATAGATCATGTAATGGGTCTACAAGTTATATCATCCCAAAATTTGCGTGGTAGAGGTTTGCTGACAGTTGGCAGATGTAAGTACAGAGTCCGTGGCTTCACTTAGATCTATATGTACTGATAATTAATTGTGGGCATCATTTGTGCAGATTATTCTTATTACATTACCTACATAATTTTTTCAAAAAGGTGTTATTTCTTCTCATTGATACCTGTAGGCTCGTGTAGAAAATAATGCAGTAAATGTCTGACAGTACATGTGACAGCAAATTCTTGTTTTTTTTCTTTTCTTTTTTTCTGTGCTCACTAAGATTATTTTGTTTTGATTTATTTGCTTTGTTTTACATTAATGTTGGATGAACAGCAAAAAGGGGGGGGGGAAGAAAGTTTCAAAGTAGTATGTTATATACTTCATGTTGAAAAATTGTTTCACAGGGCAAGAAAAATATTAGTTTTACCCTATGTCATTTATATAATCTTATGAAGATTATTATATGTCAGTGCTTATTATCTTTCTTTTGAAATTATTAATTGACATTTGTTACCTGTACAGTATAAACAGTTTCAGAAATAAAGGTCATTTATAATTGTTTTATTGATGTAGGTTATAGCTGTGGAATATTGATATGTTTTTAAATAGATTATCTTATTTTGTTAAGTTTTTTGTTTTGTTAGAAACAACTCTAAGCACCATTATTTTTTGTGATATTTATTATCTAGAAAGTATAAAGTTCTTTGTATATATGTATTTGTATTAATTTTGTCTTATTTCTTTTCAGATTTGACATGCATCTACTCAAGGACGCATTTTAATCTATAGCTATTTATAATTCAAATCTGCATTTTAATGCATATACCGACTTGCAAGAGTCACATAGAGATGAACAGACTCTGAAACTTATTTGAATATGTTTTTATCAGTATAGCAAAACTCAATTATAAATAAGCAAAATGATGTGTAGCGGCCTGAAGTCATTGAAAAAACTGTGATTTCTAGCATGTGCTGGAAAAGAAAAGAAAAGAGAAGCAGAAAAGTTTGAGCTCTCCTTCTTACGAGATCTTCTTATATTTGTTTTGGTATTCAGTGCAGGCAAGGAAGGTCCTTAACAGAGTATGGAGAGCCCGAGCAGTGAGAGTGTACAGGAGTACCATCAGGTGCTGACAGGTGTTGGGTGCCATGAGGGCTCAGTAACTGTCTTCAAGCAAGATGGCAGCTCAGCACTTGTCACCGACTCAGGCATGGTGGCCAGCCTCACTGTGGTGGCTGATGACCAGTCCATCACAGGTGACGTGACTAACGAGATCATAATTACAGCAGATGAAAGCCTCACCATCTCTTCTGATGGGAATATCACACAGATGAAGACAGTGGATGGAGGGAGTGCCTCAGACACACTGCAGTCAAATACAGCTGACAAGGCCCTGGGCAGCCAGATTGTCTTTATCCACCAAGATAGGCAGCTGGAGCAGACACAGCCCATACACTCACAGTCACACCAGCATGTGACACAGACGCCCAGGCATCAGATCTTGACTGTTCAACAGTCCCAGCAAGTACAACACACACCTCAACAGCAGCAGGTCCTCAGTGTGAGCAGTTCTCAGCAGCATCAGCGCCCACATACCCAAGGTGGCGAAATACCCATAAGACCTCTAATCAGTGACATTGTAAATTCAAATGTCTTAACTTCTACCACAACAAGCAGTCCTCTTTCTGTTAGTCTTTCAAATACAGTGTCAAATGGCACTGTGAGGCTCAACAGTCTCCCAGCCAATTTGCTAGCGAATCCAACAACAGTTACCACCACAGTTGAGCAACCCAACAATGGACCTTGTATGTGCTTTGTTTGTGGGCGTCAGCTCTGTGACCCCAGTGAAAGATTTTACTACCTTAAAACTCAAAAGTTATTTAATACCCAGGTAACATTACTGGAACTCCTAAGTGATGTGCTGAACCAGACTGTTGTGACCAACACAGGAGCAGTTGACCTGTGCTCAAGATGCTCAGAACTTGTCAATGAAACAGACAGTGCTTACACCCATCTTAACCGCCTGAAAAAGCAAATAAATGGTCTCTTTACAAATAACATGCGACCAAAATTGACCTTTCAAGTCTTGCCAAAGACTAGTAACCTGGGTGCACTGGGCACAGGCACAGTTCCTCGCCTTTACCAGCCTCCACAACTCAACTTGGATGATTTGGCTGCCACCAGGCCCCGTAGAGGGAGGCAAGCGCGGAAGGAAAAGAAGGAGGAAAATGCAGTTGAGGTCAAAGTATCGACTGCCCCCAAAAAGAAAGGAGGCAGACCACGCAAACCTTTTGGGTGCCATATTTGCAAGCGCAAGTTCTTGACCAAAGACATGGTGGCAAGTCATATGGTCAAGGAGCATGATATTCATCCTGTGGGTTTAGCTAAGCCCATCCTTGGAACAAGTGACTCACCTGAACCAGGATCTGGCCAACAGGAAGAGAAGAAGGTTTCAGGTAACACAGAGGGACAGCAGGTCAAACAGGAGCAGGAAGACACCAAGGAGAAGCCTGCATTACTCCCTCTGAAGAGTAGCCCTATGAAAGATGAAGGTCTTGCACTTAATACTCTAAACTCTCTGGCCCCAGTGACCTCAACAGGTCGCTCCATATTGCCAAGCTTGACCCCCATAGCTCCCAAGGTCCGAACAGATGCAGCATCACAGTTCCTTGCATCCATGCGTCCCATTCAGCCCAAGCCCCAAACCATGATACAGACTGCTCCTGATGGATCTATGGTCTTGTTCATGAACCCAACTGTGGTCGACTCTTCCCCAACAGTAATCAAAGTTACTCCAGGGTACATGAATCTCAAACCTGGTCCTTACACATGTGATAAGTGCAACAAGACCTTCTTGGATGACAAGAGTCGCAGAATGCACCGTATTGCAGCCCATGGTTTAAGGAAGAGGAAGAGAGATGGTGAGGAGGAGGATGAAGAGGATGACAGTGGAGAGAAGAGGGATTGTCATGAGAAGCTTTGGCACTGCAGACAGTGTGAGGTCTCATTTACAAGCAAGAGGAGCCTGGCTGAACACCGTAAAGCACTCCATCGCATGGGAGAAAATGGCATAGGCATAGATCAAAGAAAAGACCGGTTACATTCTTGTGATCAGTGTGAGCAGATGTTCTGTTACAAATATGAGTTAGAGCGCCACAGAGAAACTCATGTTCCATACACACAGATGGGTCCACACGA